TTTAACAAGTTAGTTCAAGGCATCGTTAATTGTGATAAAAATGTATCTGAAATGTATAAGGCTATTATCCTATTTAATTCCATGTCTGATTCATATAGGAAAGTTAAGAATGCAATTAAGTACGATAGGGACATCTTAACACCCGAGATTGTCATAGACTTACTTACGAGTAAGGAGATGGAGATTAATGCTGAAAAAGAGGATAAGAGGAGTGGCTAGGATGAAGTTTAAGCAAATGAATTTGGGTAGAACTCAAGACGATAGTGATTCGAGTAGTGACTCGAGTATGAGGGTAGTAAGAAGAAAGGCAAGGGACGAGACAAGTCTAGTGATAGAAAGTGTTACAGTTGTGGTAAGTTTGGACACTTTATTAGGGACTGTCCCAAGAAGAAATATAAGCTGAAGGGTAAGATGAGAGGTGAGACGAATTTGGTTGAGGGGTCGAGTTATGACCCCAGTGAGGTTTATTAAGTGTAAACCTAATCACTGCATATACATCCGTGTGTGATCATTTTCTGCATGTGTGTGATTATCTAAATTTTGTTGCATGATTATCTGCTACATCTCAATGTGTTTGATATGTGTATTTGCATAAATTTGAGACATTAGGATTACTTGGTGTAATTGCTTGTCTGCATAGTGGGTTAGGATGCATTAGCAGTGTGTTGTGTGTTTTTTGATAAGGTGGAGTATAGATACATAGGGGTGCATGGTGGTTTGTACCGGAGATGTAGAGTGTGACATTTGGATCACGAGGATCAAATGTCTAGAATCCTTTATCTGGAAAGAGACCCTGATCAGGTGGAGTGTGAGAGAGGCACTTCTATCACTTTTGTTAGGTGGAGACCCATTATCCACGTAGGTTGGGAGAAGTAATGTGGAGATAGAGGATTATCCCGTGGACTTAGGATTTATTGTGACTTGCCAGTTAGACATGAGTTGAGTGATCAGTCTAGTGAGCTTGATGGGCGATAAGAGTAGATATGTGTTCTCGAGGTGTGAACAACACGGAATGGGATAGGATAAGTGTGGTGAGATCTTTTCTTAGGGTTATTTATGCATGTGTTGCATATATGGTTAACCGTGGTTTGATTAACTTGGTGTTAATCTATGGTTCTATGTGAACGTGTTTCTGAAAAGATCTGTGTGTGTTATCCTATAGTATATCGTCATCGCATGTGTATTTGCTCTTGATTGTTTACTATTAAATATTTGCTTCTACTTGGGTGTTTTTTGACCTTAGCCCCAGTGGGTACATGGAGCAGGTATGGTATGTGTTTCAAGTTGGAAACACGAGATAAGGTCTGTGATCCAATTTTATTGGCTACTTTTATTATGCAAGCGCTAATTGTGTGTTTTGATTGCTTACAGATTTATTGGGCATCAATGTGGAGATTTGTTGGGTTTTTGATATCCAATAAATTTCGGGTTATGATATTAACATGAGTTAATATTATTTCATAGGCATATCCCGATGAATGAAATAAGTCCAACAACCAAGTCCATGAGCTACACCCGACCCAATTGTATTCCCTTATGGATTGCTTGAATCTTGGCCCATTTACCCCTTTAGTGGTCCAACTTAAAACCTAACCCTAGAGTATATATATGGCTATAACCCTAGCCACTTTCTTACGATGTATTGTGTGATTTTGAGAAAAGAAAAAATGAATCCCGGCTGCCCCCCTTTGTGTGAGAAAAAAGGTCTCTAGAAGTGTCCAGAACACTTGTATAACGTGTGCAATTAGTGGTTCCTTCATAGTATACTTTTGTGGTGTCTTCTCCTAGCATTTGTGGCCACAAATCATCATCTTTTCTTGTCCTACGTGGGTAAAATTGAATAGCAACCGAGGTGAATCAATTGATTATAGTTTGGAGTCGACTGGATTGGTTGTTGGTTGAAAAAGGCGCGTTGGACTGAGCTCGAAAATCACCGATTTGAAGATCTTTCAAGAAAACTTCCGCAACAATTATGAACCTTCCATTCAATTATAATGTAATCTAGTTATTAAAAATCGTGACGTGAGTTATTTAGCCTAACCAAAATTGTGCTTCTTCAAGATGAATGATAACAATTAATCTAAGTCAACGGCATCAATGACTCATATCATACAACAAAAAACAAAAAGGTTTTAGTCATTCGGTTCTTGTGCACTCAGTCTATTCCATTCTATCTCTAGTACTCCGATCAACTTTCTTTCTTTAAAGATAAATTTTTTGGTGAGCATTCATCTCATTCTTCTTTTTCTACGTAGAATGGGGCATATTGCTATAGTAATTTCTTTTTGTGTGATATAATATTGTAATAGGAACTAAGCGAGAATCTAGAGATTTGTGAGGATACAAAATTGTATATGTACTGCCATTGGTTAATACTTAATAGTGCCTAGCTGAGCGAAGGTCCAGCAAGGCACGACGCAGAAGTAGGCCTTTAGGCATCTTTAATGCATTTTATGAATTTCAATCTACATTAATGCCTAATAATAAGGTCAAGCTTAAATTTGATCTACATTGGGAGAAAACTGCACCAGCTGAAAATCATAGCTTCAATAATGGAACATTAAAGAATAACAATGGATTCCCCAAACATGGCACAAGCCGAAACGGTGACTTTTATATTACAAGCTAGAAGGGCAGAACCGCAATTGTGGATCAGTTTGAGTGAAGTCTATATGGCAGTTGTTCATTGGTGACTAAGAAGAATACCAAAAGAGTAGTTATATTCATGAGAGCTGTTATATGTACATCATGCTTGTACAGCATAGTGTACAACCCCCTCACATTAGGGGGGCTCACAATTTTTTTATTCATGGTGAGCCCCCCTAAGAGGGGGTTGTAACATTTCATTAATCGGAAAATATTGTTCTTGATCATTCTTGTCTAAAAATATTGTTAACGTGTTTTAAAATGATGATCAAATATTTAATTGTATTTTTGCATTATTATTTCTTTTGATTATTTAAAAATATAATTGACAAATGAGCCTTTTTACCTTATCTCATAAAAAATTTTGGAGAGAAACCATTAATAAAAAAGGCAGCATGGAAAAAAAAAGTCGAGCTGGGCCAGGCTGGCTCGGCTCAGTAAGGCCCAAGCCTAGATTTTTTAGCCTGGCAAAAGTTTGGCTCGACTTGGGCTCGCAAAAAAGCTCGAACCATTTTACTCGAGCTAAGCCTGAGCCTTAGGTTTCAACTCGGCTCGTTGACACCACTAGAAGTAAGGGTGATGATGTGCATAGATTTTGAACATTTCATACAATTATACTGTGATGTGAATTATAGAGCCTAACCAAAATTGTGCTTCTTCAAGATGAATGACAAGGGTTAATCTAAGTCAACGACTTCAATGACTCATATCATACAACAAAAAAACAAAAAGGTTTTAGGCATTCGGTTCTTGTGCACTCAGTCAGTTCCATTCTATCTCTAGTCTCCGATCAACTTTCTTTCTTTTTGTGTGATACCATATTGTAATAGGAATTAAGGGTGAATCTAGAGATTTGTGAGGATACAAAATTGTATTATGTACTGCCATTGGTTAATACTTAATAGTGCCTAGCTGAGCAAAGGTCCTGCAAGGCACGACGGAGGCCTTTAAGCATCTTTAATGCATTTTATGAATTTCAGTGTACATTAATCTCTAATAATAAGAAGATCAAGCTTAAATTTGATCTCCAAAAGGTTCTATCTACAACTCCATATTACTGCATAGGTGATACTAATATACCCTAAAAAAATACAGAAGATAAAAGGTAGAGTGGAGAGAGAGAAAAAGAACATCCAACACTTTAAACAATAAAAATGAAATCAACAGAATTACTAAGTCAACACGTCTAATCGAGCGCCTGAATCTAGACAGAGATATAGACGAAGTTTATTTTTCAAATAATGTTATATCATCCTCTTGTGATATGGGGTGAAATGATAAGAACTTCGCGACCCACTAATATCACTTCACGTTATTCAATTTGTATATATAGTTATTCTTTTCTTTTTGCCATGTCAACTTGAGAAGCCCAATAAATAATTATTTTTCTACACTGATTTGCATTATGTGCTGAATAATGCTATTTATCACTGTTTAACCATAAGCAATGATGTAGCATGCAGATATTTTTATTTGGGATATTTGGATCTGATCTTGGACAACTAAACCTTGGTCTAAGACAGATCAAATTAACAGAAGTTGCCTGCACCTGTTTAATTATAATTAATTAATTACATCTTTTAATTATAATTTTCTAGCTTATAATTATATAAAGTTGCATATTGAGAAGGCTCCCATATTTCCAAAATTGAGGTCGTTTTACTAAATAATCCATGAGCAAACTTTGTAAGTGTTAACAAATATGAAATCTTGGCTCTGCTAAGGTTACGACTGCAAAAAAACCACCTCGGAAAACGACCGAGCAACCGGGCCATGTTGTTGTTCTCTGTAGCCTGTAGGCAGATAAATCCACAAGTTTTAAGACAATCTTCTGAACCCTTCCCTATTAATGTTTGGACATATTAAGCTCACTTATGCAAATTATACAACGTGTGATATCATATACATGCGTGACAACAAATTAGTGTCCATTTGATGGGGCTTTCGAAAGGTCAAAATGTACTTATGAGACTTTTGAATATGTTTCGATAATTTTATGAAAAATGTTTTGTTTGGATAGAATAACTTTAAGAAGAAGCTAACATGAGATAACTTTTTCAAAAAGTTCTTTTACAAAAAGCAAAAGCAAAAGTTCTGCCAAATGAACCTTAATATATAAACAGATGATAGAGTTTGATTATCATGTTTGATGCTACTCAGTTCTTAATGGCAAATATATATGACCTTGCCCAATTTGGGGGAATCGAACTTTTGCAACTTATTGTTTCATGTATAGTAATAGTGTTACTAGAGGAGGAACCGTTATTACACCACCCCAGAGCTGTGCAACCTAAAACACTGCTAACACCAATCAAGTCGAGCTTGAGACTTGATAGACATTTAAAAAGATATACGACTATTATCTGGTTAACAAAGAGTACAAATGCCACGCGCTTTGCTCTTTGCAATATTAAGATACTATCCGTCACATGTCTACCCCTCATAACACTTGTCCTTTAGCTAGTAAGATTACCTATAAATAGAAGGTAAACACATGTAATGGGTGTGTCTCCACCTTTATATACATAAGAAGTATATTGCTCCATCCTTAACTTCTCTTGAGACTAATCACACCGAAGGAGAAACAGAGAAGAGTGGAGAAGAATTCCTCGCCTCCTTTTTCAAGTCATCGAAACAAAGGAGTTCATTCAACCAAATACTTCTGAAAAGACCAAAAATTAATGTTAGCTTGAATTCTGAAATGTTGGTCTAATTTATTGTTGTTGACTTGGACAGAGCTACATTGGAATACAAGAAAAGTTGGTAGCGTTGCCTCCGTCGTCTAATCGGTTTAATTCTGCACAGGTAAAGGAACCATTTCTCGAACTTTATGATATGAAGCTGTTAGAATATCTAGTAATTTCATTTAACTTGTTCCTCTTTTACAATTTCTTATTCTTCCAATGTAGAATTTTAAGAACTGTGCTACATATACAGAAAAGTTGACAGATGCATCTGTTCCTTGATTTAAATATCAATGGTTTATCAACCTACTTGTATAAAATCATCTGTACAAGTAGGTTAATTGTAATTTTAAATGGATGTTTGATAAATCTTGAATATTTATGTATACATGATAGGTGCTAAGAGATTTTAGTAGGTGGCTGCAAGCAGTCTCTCCCTTATTTAGCTTCCTGTAAAGAATGAGCATTTGCAGTAGCTCTGATGTGGGTAGATATCAAGAGAGCTTTTCGTTAAGCTCCTTCGACTTCAACTCCTCCCTCGATGGGCTTTACAATTGTGATGACGATGGCAATAATGATGTTGATGCATATATCGAAATAGAGCTTGAACCAGCAAAAATCACTCCCTCGGCATCTCGTGATAACAAAGGGGGGTCAGATGAGGAGGAGGAAGTGGAATTTCGCATATCGTTGTCTGCAATATCTAGACAATCTTATTCTGCTGATATATTTTCTTTCCCAACAACTTGTTCTGGTGATGCCAAGACTCTCAGTATTTTTCCACCAACTTGGAAGAGACTGGAGCCACCAGTTGATGATGAAGATTTTACTGCAAAAATCAACCGGGAGTTGCTACAAATCAGGTGAATTTTTACTTAATAAACTACACGTGCCCCTCCTCCACATGGCACTGACTACGTTTAACCATCTCGTCTAAACTTAATTCTCAACTTTAAACCATTGATCTGGGGCTCCATTCCTCCTGTGACCTCGTGGGGCGATTGATTTGTGACATAGCCTCCCGGTAGAGAAGTAGAGATGGAAATAGTCAAGGTGAGGCCAAGGATGCCCTCCCCGTCCCCCAGCTGGGTGTTTTCGGAGATAAAACTATCCATATTTCCTTGCCCGTTAACTTATTTTTCTATATACGATTTAAATTTACACATAAAAAGCGTAGGATGGCAACCATATTCCTTGTCCCCGAGATGATTCCTCCGGCGGGCAAGACAGGACGGGACATTTTGCCATCTCTATACGGAATGAACAAATTTATATATTCTATTTTACTTCTATGCCAAATTTATTTTCATCAAGTGGTGGACACATGCACCAGTTCATAAATTGCCGCCAATAGAAGCCGAAAATTTCACCATTTTGATTCTTTAGCTCTATAGAATTTTTGAAATTCATTGTTCCTTTACTCATTTTCAAACACATTCTCCCAATAATATTTCACCATTTTGATTCTTTAGCCCCTGTTTGGTGCAAACTCGTAATTTTTCCTCATTTTTTAAATACATGTTCTCTAAATTTGTTTGGGCTCCATTTTAATGAGATGTTGGCATAAATAGTGATTTTTTGGAGAATGTATAATTAAAAAAATTTAAATTTACGTGTAATATTATTTTATTGAAAAATGTGTGATTAATAAGAAGATAGATGAAAATGAATTAAAATTTTAATGCAGCCCTAACTGAGACTCTATTATCACACAATCTACATCAAATAAACCCTTAGTAGAAACAAGCAAAGACATTGCCAAAATACATTCTCTGCTTTGGCCCATTGCCAAAATTCTCTTATGATTTTATTTGAAATATACATATTATTCGAAAATGCTCGGCTCTGTAACCTTTTGTTATGAACAATGAATCCATACAGGAGAGCACCAAAGACCAGAGGTGGGGTCACGAAAATACTGGTGAAGTTCAGGTCTATTACGTTCCGATCAATGCTAACTTCATTACTAAAACTCGGCAAATTTACTCCGATGAACACTCGACAGGTTTATGGAATATCCGACGTGCCGGCGGAAAATCCTCGAAGTTCATCGAACAAACTGTTTCCCCAAAAGGCCCGCAGAAATGGGGAGAGATCAAAACTGTTAGAAATAAACTTGGAGGGAATTAAGAAACTGTTTGGCGCAGCTGTTGGCATGAAAACTACAAACCAAACAAAAAGTAGCCCAAATTCATCACCAATTAATGAAAACAAGTTTTATGCCAGGGAGAATTCAGTTCAAGCGGCCATTGCTCACTGCAAGAAATCTTTTGAACAGACAGATGATTTTTGCTTTCAAGTACCAGGGCGAACTACTTTTTGTGGCTTGAAATAAACAAATTTAAAAAAAAACAGCTTCTAAGCACGATCAAAATTTATTTTCTTTCCCAATTATACTTGGGCTAGCTACACATAATACTGGTCCTTTATTTTGTCAATGAATCGATATTCGCATGAAATCACGATTTTAAATCAGTTCTTAGTATTTGGTTAAATCAATGAGTATTTGATCGATTGATCCCGACGTTCTTAGGAACCAAGAGGCTTTGATTTCTCGCTCGTCTCTTATTTCAAACATGCTTATCTTACAACCGTTAATTTTCAGGGTTTTTTATTATTATTTTTTTAGTGTTGTACAGTTTATTATTTATTCCAAACACCATTATTGTTGATGATGGGAGAAATTTTCTTTTCCATGTTTTCAGTGAGAAAAGAAAACACACCAAATTTTGTTGGACTTGGATGCCGGAAATTGAAAACAAGTGGAAGAGATATTTTAACAAATTAAAAAACTCTATTTTGAAATTCCATCACAAACTAAAATTCAAGAATGTTGTCAAATTGTGGTTCTTGGATTAGTGACGTAGAGAAAGATATGTCTCGTTGCATGATTACTCTTCTTTCTCACAAAAGAACAATCTGCATGATAAATTTATGGTTTCAAACTTTCTCGTGTTACATTATTATTCTTCGCGTTTGTTACACCTTTCATGAGACTAAAAATTTAACGGAAAGACAACAATTAAACAAATATGAAATATCTATATAACATTACCAAGGATTCAAGTCATCAGGTCACTTCACTAGAGCTAAATGATGGCAACCCCGACCTCCCTAGAAATTTTCCCCACCGTCCCCACCTAAGACGGGGTGGGGAATGGGATCTCCATCCCCCTGTTTTCTTTTTTTTTTTTTTTTTCCCGTCAATTATAATTATAATAATAATAATAATGGGACGAGCTTGATTGGTATTGTGTTAGAGATTATTATTTTGTTTCTTACAATATTAATGTTATGCGTCCCCGTCAATGGACCCAGTTAAACGGGGAATCTCTGCCCTTTTCGAGGCCAATCCCCCGCGGTCGAAGCCAGCAAGTTTTTGGAAAAGGATGAATGGAACCCTAATCTCTTATTAATCGAAAATTACAACTATGAAATTTAACGGATTCATAAATCTGTATATAACATCATAATTAATTGAATATGCGTTTTATGTACAATAACCAGAGGCGGAGCCAGAAGATGGTGTTAGGATGGGCTGAAATTTAAAATTTTTCTAATGAATTTATGTCACAAGAGGCTAAACTCACACGACAAAGAGTGTGAAACACTCAATGAAATAGAAGAACTTTAGATGTTTCATTCTAAGATGTCTCATTAGAACTTTTTATATTTTCTTACCAAATAAAAATCGATGCTTACATTAAAAAATATAAAATAACGGAACCATGATCGGAATAAGCAAATGATACATATCCATCAATGAAAAACTAATAAATTATTTAATGAATATTATTCCAAATAAATTTAACGACCAGTATTTTCAAACAACTAGAAGTTTTGGTCAAAACAAGCAATCAATAATACATCACTATATGTTATTGTCTTGAAATACTATTTGGTATGGACAACAATCTTCTATATCACTTTATTTCATAGCGAGTGAAGACTAATACCCAAAGAGAAAATTTGACTAAGAATTAGGAAGGTTCAAAGAAATTTGATTTAATTCATGTACATATTTGCTCAACTTCAAGAATATACTTATATGTAGATTAATCTATAAATAAATAAATTTTAAAAAGCATTCTTTTTATTGACGAGATCAAATCTAGAGTAAGTAATTTATTTTGATCATAA